TAGTGAAATTGATTGCGATTTCATAATTATTATTTTCACAATCTAATAAATAAAAGAACTCTACCTAAGGTAAGCTAAAAAGATTGCTATCTTATGATTAGAAATGCGAATGTTTCGATGTATGTTTGTTAGTATTATAGTTATCTCCAAAACTGCTACATGAACCTTGCTGAAATTGTGCATAGAGATATAGAACCTATTCTAGGGGAATGTAGACTACTGTTTTTTTTAATTCCGCCTAGATGGAGTCGCAGACAATAGCTAGTTGTTGTATAAATAAATTAGAAATAGAATAGCCATTGAACGAAGCGGGTTATTTCCCGTGTATCAGTATCCACTTCCTGGTAAATGAAGCCTGTCTAAAGAGCTTAGTGAAGCACAATTTGTAATTTTATAATACCACGCTCATACTACTCATTATATGGACAAAGGAAAGTTTTTACTATGCCACATAAAACCTCTTTAATCCTTGTATACTCAGGATGTGGCATTAATAATATTCAAAAATGACTCTCCGTAGATTTCTAAGGCCTAAATCTCTGTATAAACTGTATCTGTTTATACAGCTATAAAATATGTTTTAAGCTGGGAATTTGGTATCAGAAACTCACGGTTTGTTATTTTTTTTTTATATCATAAGGTTAGGTAAACAAGCGAGCGGCCACCTGAAATCGCTGAAATAGCGAAGTGACCGTTGCCCATAAACATACGCAATTGCATATGCGTTGCCTACCTTTAATCGACGGAGGTGAGGATGCACAGAAAGAAAATATTTTCCCTTTCCATGCATCCTCTCATCCGGAAAGTCCACTTCCACTTCCCATCCTTTCCTTATAAGAAAAAGGATGGGAAGGGAAAGATGACTAAATTAGGCCTCCGGGACACACACTCAAAAATGTACTTATTTGATTGTTCTTACAATAATAATACCAATTATCGACAGTTTTAAATTAGTAAAAAGTCAGTACATATGTTTTGTTTGATAAAAAGATATTCTATGCAACATAAATATAAATTCGTTTATCTTAAAAACAAAAACATAATTCTAATTTATCTTTACATATTTCAGTTGTCGTATACTTTGTTATGTTTTCAAGTAAAGCGAAAAATTGTTGTTATTTTAGTATAGGTATTTGTTTTTATGTCGTGTATTATATTTTACGAGTTTGCTGACTAACAACGCCTGGATTATAAATATTTAAATAGCTTTGTACACGCAGAAAAACATTGAACCTCTGTATATTTATATATTAAATAATACCATTTAACCAATCATCATCATCAGCTCGTCATACTTTCCCACCGAGGACCCTACCCTAAATTAAGGGTGATTAGGCCATAGTCAACCACTCTGGCCAAGTGCGGGTTGGTTGACTTCACGAATATCTTCGAATTAACTAATACTATTGTAAAACAAATTTCTGAAATAAAAAAAGGATGTAGAAGAACGTTTAAAAAGTAACTAAACTCGAGAGATTTTCCCGAAAATTTCGGTTGGGTTGTTAAACTGTGCGATGACATCCTAAGTCCTAACTAACTATGGACGAGACATAGCTTACCGTGGGTTTATGAGACCAAAATAGCCTTTTAAAAAATTGTTATCTCTCTTTGGACACTATGTTTATTTGCTTATACAGAGATTTTGATCTTAGAAACCCACGGTTAGTCTTGTTAGTGAACAAAGACGATTATGTGTTTTGCCTATGAATTTATTCATTTTAATTAACGATAAGGCTTAGGATATTCTACAATAGTCTTCCAAATCTTTGGTTTATGTAATTGCGCGGATCGTATGCCGAAACAAATGCAGGGGAACAATCATCATCTTGCTCATTCCCTTTGAAACAAACAGAGATAACAACATATTTTGTACCAGTAATCTGTCATTGGAAACTAAGGTACTAAGTAATCAATTTATTATAAATAAAATTGCATTAAATTTTTCAATTCAACTTTTATTAAACAGCAAATTTTGTGCAAGATATTTCAAAAATCACACAATTCAATGTTAAATGGATGTTGTACTTTGACACTACTTTACAAAGAAGAGTATACATTTGTACAGAGTATTAAGTATGCAGGGTAGACCAGAGAAGATCGATTGTCGTTGTAGCATCTGCCAACTTCTGAATTCAATTTCAGATTTGGCAAAGTTTCACCCAACTCACAAACAACACAAACATTGCAGTTGTCTAACAAATTTAAGACCTTAAATTTAATTTAAGATATACAAGTATAACTAAATTACTCCAGACTGTTATTATACTAGTTTCGGTAAGAACTTATAAATTGGAAAGTTTAGATATATGGATGGACGTTTGTTTGTACGTACATACGAGTATCTCCAGAGTGGCTGTATGCATCTCGCTGGAATTCGGCATAAGTGTAGAACATAGTCTGGAAGAACACATAGGCTATTTATTAAGTTTATTTTAATACTGCGCGGACGAAGTCGCAAATTTTGCCTAGTTTAATATTAAATTTAATAATCTACGTAGTAAATTAATACAATACCATAACCAAATAATCAGGAAGTGGCAATTTCCACTAAATGAGCCGTGATCTCGGTATTTCGAGTAATCTCAGTAGCCCCGAGCTGTTAAATAATTTTCATTACAGTACTGCTGAATCTCGTTTCAGTTACGACTAAATCCAATATTTTACTGTAGCCACTTTATAAGCTAAAATGGCTGCACCAGAATTTATGTTTAATTCGTACTCTCTGACGATTCGTTTTAATTCTCAACTGAGTTATATCTTACTAATATTATAAACGCGAATGTTTGGAAGATGGATGGATGTTTCTTAGAGGTTATCTCCATAACGGTTGAAAGTATCTCGCAGAAATTTTGCATATATAAAGAACATAGTCTAGAAGGAGAAACAGGCTAGTATTTAGGTTTTTTTACTCTGCGGATGGAGCGGCGGGCGACAGCTAGTTTTTATAAAATTTATTATTGAAAATGAATGTAAATCTTACAACTCGTGGCCGATAACATAGGACCTTAGGGCAAAGACGTCATAGCTTGCAGAATTCAAAGAGTGATTATTAAGTAGATTTATTAAATATTCAAATTAGATTGAAAAAGGGGTCTTGACAGACGGATAACAAAGTGCATAGGGGTTCCGTTTTTTCCTTTCGAGGTGCGATATCCTAAAAATGTGTATATATATTTACGTGATTACGTTTGTACAATTTAATTCAGCAACGAGTCTAGTAAATTCGTATCGTGAATGCAAAATATTATGAATAGGAATTTATATATTTTAAAAGCAAAGTCTTCGAGCTAAGTAAATTGCATTAAACATTTATGAATGGCCAGTATTTTATCAGATCTTAAAAAGATATCTTGTAAGGCGCACTTTCTTTGAAAAATTATTTCTCTTATGATATTTCGTTTATAATAAATTTTGCTATTAAATTGATACCATATTTTTGCCTAATTTTATTGAAAAATAGTCCCTTGGCATGGTACAATATGACTATTTTAAAGTTATGTCCATACTATTTGTCGCCCGCGACTCCGCCCGCGCGGAATTAAATTAGACTTGATTAGTGTTCTTACGGGCTATGTTCTACATCTATGCAAAATTTCAGCGAGATCTATGCAGTCGTTCTGTAGTAACTTTCAAACAAACATCTATCTATCCAAACATACACACAACAGGAATATCAGCGTATAAATTGGGAAAAAAAGTTAAAAACATCGCTATATTTGCTGCGCAGAAGGAGTCGCGGGCGACAGCTAGTATGTTATAAAATAAACAAACAACATATATTATGATGTAGTACTTGCAACTTGAAACATTCGTAATAATCCTCAACACATAGTAAGCGTGTGAGAGCACATTTCATTACAACTTAGCCAACTTAAAGCTCTCAAAGTAATAGTTATGAAGAGGGATAAAAGTATTAGAGGAAACTTTTACATTCGACTAAACTTGAGTGCGGGAAAGTTTATTAATGTACTAAGTATATAAGTTAATATATTTAGTACTTATATACATATTATATAAAGTTGCATCTTTAGCATATATAAATTGGAATGCAAGTGCTTGTGCTGTGTTTGTAAGAACACTGCAGGTGCATTCGTATATACATCCCAGAACAATCCCCAGTCTCACTCAAAGACGCCCACGGAAGAGTTTCTAGTGAGTTAAATCTAACAAAACCCTCTTTCTACCAAAAGGCACCTGTAAAGGTACCTTTGAAGATTTACCCCTCACACCAAAAAAATCCTATACCCTAGCGTTGATAATGTCACGGACAGTTTGAAATGAAAACTGCAAACTAGCTTACTTGGGTGACGCAGTGACCCCAAGTAGGCCTTGGTTTCCGACAACAAAAGTCTCCACGTTCCCCGGACGGCCAACTGGGCGACGATCCCTGAGTCGTCTCATGTATATATGAGAAACATTGTACAAGACCAGATAAATTTTGCGAAACTTTGGTTGCCAAGCTGGCTTATGCAATACTGATAGTTATATATTATTAGTTATATACTGATAGTTATATATATTATATATTATTATTTTGGTCCTTTACATAATTATCTTAGTAATCTGTTGTGCGTGACATTGCATTATATTAAAGCTAATTGAACTGTAATCAAGTTTTGATAAATGATTGTTGCTTTAAATAGACAATTTAGTATCCACTCATGATATCAAAATTGCATCACTGATAAGGTGAAAAATATATTTCATGTTAAATATGCGCGCAACGATTTCGGAAATATGAAAGAATGAATAGAGCTAGAAATGCACAAAAGACTCTTATAAATCCCAGGCTAATAGAGATCTTTTCTTTTTCTTTGAAACTAACTAGTAGTATCCACATCTCTCGAAATAATTGCAGCGTTGTCAACTTTTACGTAAGGAGAGTAAAAGGTACGGAAATAAAGGAAGGGAGGGAAAGAGTTTGTATATTTGCATTGCCAGTAAACAATAAAGTTCAAAGGTGTATGGATATTATATAAAAAAAATTAAATTAAAAAAAGAACATTTTAATATAAAAATATATTTTTTCACTTTTTTTCATTATTGTTTGGTTATATAAATACTTAACTTACTTTCATTTCGTACATGTTTGTTTGTCGACTGTATAAATATTTTTCAATAAGGATAACTGCCTGTAGTAGATAATCGATATAATCCAGATCTGTAAATAAAAAGTAGCTAGTAAAAATACGTTTAGAAAAATTTAATAAAATAGCAACTGTACATAATTTAAAAACTAACTCGAATAAGGCTGTGGCTGTTACTGTGGCTGAGTCCCCTCCCCCTTAAATATAGGTCATCGGCTAGAGACCATGACGTTGGACACACATTTGGAGATACGTTTGTAAAGGTAGAATGGAGAGAAATATGACACGAGAAAGAAATGGCTATCAACTGAAATGATGGGAACATTACGAATAAGATCCATGTTATTCGGACCCCACCAACATTGTGCCGGTGTACTTGCGCAACACTAGCCTTACTAAAATGTCGACGTTTGTGTCCCCTCACTATTCTGACACTGGACTTTGCAACGAAAGTGCGTCATTCGCGCCATAGAATTATACCTAATAATGTCCAAAAATACGAACCCAGATTTGGTTACATCTCCATTGCCCATATTATATGACTTTCCGCCACATTTGTTAGATACAACTTCATCCTCAGATGAGCATTCTTTACCAACTAAATGATTGTATTGAACTGTAGCGGCGAATAATTCCCACGAACGGTTGTGATTGCAAATGCTTGTGAAGCAACCAGGCTGACTATTACCACCATTGGGATAGAAATCAGCATGACCAAGGGCCAAGTTAGTTCCACTACCACGGCCGTTCGTGTGGATTATTTCAACGTAGATACCGTCAGATTTGTCTAAGCGGTTACGGTTGTTGTGCCAAATCGGGCTGACGGGGTCGAGACCTGGAATAAAAACGTATTTCTTTAGAATTCAATACGATCAATATTTGTTTTGTAATAATCAAAAATGTGGGAACACGTAATAACTGATAAACCAGCTAGGTAACAAAATGTTGATATAATCATAATATTGTAATTTTAGTAAATAATCAGTGCTTTTAAAGATACTAAATAATAATAAAGATGATAAAAAAATCGGTTTTCACTTGTTTTTTATCGGAAAATTACCAATTGTTAAGAAGCAAAGTTATGATATTATTTACCTATATCTAGAGAATCTATGAATAAGATTAGTAGTTTTTTATATTTAGATACAGATTTATTATAAAATATTAAAGTTCGTAATAAACTGATAAAATAAGAAAATATAGTCTTTTTACATTTATAAAAAGATGTAATTGATTTGTGAATTTGGTTGCAACTTGAAATAAGTATTGACCTGTAACACGTCCAACTTTCCCCTCTAGTTCCCTTCCAGCATTACCAACAACATGAGAGCCAAGACTGAAGCCAACCAAGTGCATTGACTCAAGCGATGCTCCAGTTGTTTCGCTTAGGAACTTCAAAAACTGACCCAAAGCTTTGCCCACATTAGGTATGTTAGCGATAGCGTTTAAATAGCTACCCATTGCAATTCTACTCCAGTCTAGAATGATCACGTTGACTTCGCTGCTTTCCAGATATGCTAAAAAAGCATATAAAATAAATCTATTAACATTTAAATACGCAGTGTAATTATAATAGTTCTGTTTACGTAATAACTTGCGTGGAGATTACTTGTATTGGTGACGTAAAGCAGTACTAATACAGCGATTATTTTGATATCGGTTATTCAATTCGTTGCTTCTCTTTCGCTTTTAAGGGTTCCGTACCTCGAGAGGAAAAAACGGAACCCTTATAGTATAACTTAGTTTTATTCTACTCTTTTATTGCGTTCATTTTAAATTGTGTACTGTATACATCCGCTTTTTATTTGCGAATTATAGCTATTATTAAAACATGTCCTTATATCTTACCCTTCTTTAACTTTCTTCTGTTAAAGGTTTTGCTTGCTTTTAATAAAATCATTAAAATTAATAAAAAAAAATAATTACCATCTCTGATAACGGGATTCAGATTCGTGTTTTGGTTACTGAACCATCCGTGAGCCACGACAACAGTCGGCGCGTTGGGATTAAAGTTTGATGATAAAATTGAATCTATGTTGTTTATTTGCAAAAGCTGGGCCGATGATGGATTTGACCTAAAACAATTTTACCATATTTCAATCACTGACAATATTCACTATTTGTGAAAATTTTAAATTGGTAGACGCCAGCACAGCGACATCTCGTGGGCGTGAAGTGCGAACGTCGATGGGCAGCGGTCGCTTCGCTATTTCTGCGAATTTAAGTGGCTGCTTGCTCGTTTGCCATCTTATCGTATAACAAAAATCTTCTCATAATTACCTTGTGTAAAGTAAGTAACGATTTCGAGGATCTCTCGTCATGCGTTCCAGTAGGTCATTATCAATTTTCTCTTCTAGATCGACAACATGAATTTTATCATCACCGCCAATTACCTCAATATAACGTTCATTTTTTGTTACTGGTACAGCTAAGGTAACACTCACTGAAATTAAATGAAAACATAATAAAATGAATCTCTAGACTTGAAGCTAAAACACATTTTTTTTTATATCATACGGTGGTAAAGAAGCAAGCGGCCACCGGAATTCCCTGTAATAGCAAAGCGGCCGTTGTCCATAGACATCCACAATTGCAGATGCGTTGCTTACCTCTAATCTAGTATTCCTCCTCCGTAAAACACAATTGCCTTTCCTATCCTTTCCTACAAGAAAAGGGTGGGAAGGGAAAGGGGCCACCGTCACCACACTATTCAGACTGTGTCTGGAATTGATCCATTTGTCGCCTCTGTCTTCCGTGTGGTCGTGGTATTTGACAATTTTTTGCATTTCATTTTAATTTAAACAATATTTTACATTTAAAATAAGCTTACCAAAAATTGCCAATAAAATTATCGTCTTCATATTTACAATTTGGGCTCCAGCAATCTCTAGATAGATAATTACCGGGCTCGCTACTTATGTACTATTTCTTACAGATCTGATAATAAGTAGATGTTTATCTATGATACCTAAAGGTGAGCATACACCAAGTAGTCATATAAACTATTGAATTTATGAAATTACTGTGCCTATTCGCTGGAAGGTCAAAAGAAGACATTATACATAATCACTAAGATATATAGATATAATATACACTAATATGAAAGAAGCGGTGTAATAGGATTTAATAGAAAGAAGTATGTACTTAAAAATATGTCTTTTCTTACTAATATCACTTCAAATTTACGCGAATGTGAGCGTGAGATATATTTTTATTTATAAATGTTTAATATAGCTATGTAAACTTTTAAGTATTTTTGTAAATTCTTATGATGTTGGTAGTTTTTTGTAAAGTAAAAAATTAAATCAAGTAAGAATAAAGTAGCTTACTTTTGCGTATATATTTATATTGAGCACTTTAGTGTACGCGTAACCTTAATTTAATATTTTTTTAGATTATATCTAAATATATAATTTACATCGTTATTCATAGTTTGTGATCGTTATATCTTATATACTATTTGTTACAATAATGAACTGTTGAACGCAATATTAATCTACATTAAATCCTTCTGATAATGAACACATTTGCTTGGATAAGAAATCTAAAAATAACGCCTAAAATAACATGCTATTTTGAATTGCTTTTTTTTTGTAGAGTTTAGTTTGTATAAGAAGCGTGTACCACAACTAAAGAAAACCATAATTTTAGTCATCTTTTTTGTGCGCTAGTTAAAATGCTAAAATTTGGATGTTTTGATAGAAGTTTGTTAGAAGGCATTTTTAGAACGGATTAATGGTTCTACGGTTCAGTAACATAGTCTCGAAGTACGCATAGGCTAGTAATTAATTAAGTTTTCCTGATTCCACGCTGACGGAGACACTGTCGACTAGTCAAGAATGAAGTTCTAACCCCATTTTGAGCCTGTTGTATTAAATAGCAACGTTAGCGATTAAAGGATAAAATATATAAGCAGTGTTGATACTTAATGTTTTGAATTATGCGAAGTGATTCGATTGTGCTGACGGTGCAGGCTGCTTTCGAGACTTCACTTCAAACTACCTGACCGCCGCCTCACTTACTTAAGTCAACAGCTTTTCAACTTTAAATGCGTCTCATATTTAACAAAGATATTCATTTTATTCTAAGTTTATTAGATGTAGCGATTTCTTCTTTCATCTTAAAATTATATAATTTACTATCGACCGCGACTTCGTCAGTGCAGAATTTAAAGAAATAGCCTAAATTACACCAACTGACATTTATATTCCTGTAAAAGTCCCGTCAAAATCAGTCCAGTTGTTTCGGAGATTACCCGGTACAAACAAGGGGCAAACAGTCAGATAAACAATATAAAAATTGGTTTTTCAAAGTAAAGTAAATACAACATCACACACCATCTCGATGGCTGGCAATCCACAACCGTGCGGTTTGCGCGAAACTTCCTGCCTCGCACAGCAGCGTTGTGGAATGGTCTGTCCTCGGCGGTATTTCCAAACCGCTACGACTTAGGGTCCTTCAAGAAGCGAGCTTATCACCACCTCAAAGGCCGGCAACTCATCTGCGGTTCCTCTGGTATTGCTGATGTCCATGGGCCTCGTTGAACACCTCGTTGTTCCCGCTACTTGTTTGCCCCCTTCTGTTATAAAAAAAAATAACATGGATTTTTTTTATATTCAGACTATTCAATCTTATTAATAAGTATGGTTAAATGAAAGTTAGTTATTTTTTATGCCAGCCATTTTATGCCATAAAAAAATTGAGCCCGTATCTAAACATACTTGTTATTTGATTGTAAAAATCCTAATTGTAAAGATATGTATATTAAATAAAATATTATGAAAGATAATACAGAGGATAAAACTAGTTAGTATTATATAATATTTTGTTCATATTTATTTAAAAAAAACAATACTTCTAATCACCCTGTGTAATCTGTATTTTTTTAAGAAGGCGTAATTCTTTGTTTAGGAACGTCATAAACGATAATAAAGGAAATAATTTATTAATTATGATTTTGTGATAAATTATAAGATCTTATCTAATCTCATTTTACATATATTTACATTTTTTATCTTTGATAAATCTCTTTTTAATAAACTTAAATATGTATAGCTGTGATTATTTCACCAACCAATTGCAGACTTGTCAATTTAGAATTAAATCAGGATATTTGAATTTATATATTATAGAATGTTTTAATATTTCTTTAAAGAAAAGAAATATTCAAGAAAAATAAAAATCGCGTTTGTACGCGTTTATCTTAGTCCAAAACCACCAATTAAAAACATTGTTATCTCTATTTTATCAAAGATGACAGTGACGACATGTTTTATACAGAGATTTATGCGTCAGAAACCCACGGTTAGAAGGATAATGTCTATCATTGCTTTGTTTTGTATGTATGTAATCTTCTGTAACTGTAAAACTTAATAGAATTTGTGTCATAGTCAATTATTTTTTTTTCATAAAGGCGTATTCATTTTTCTTACAACTTGGTGTAAACATAGATCATATGTTTCACAAAGCGTGTCGTAAGTTTCTTGCAAAGTTTAAAGCGGGAGCTTAGAGGCAAACTTTGCGCGCTTCAGCGTCGTAGCGACGTAATTTCATTTCACTAATTAATCATACTCTATGTTGGATGTATTAAAATAGTTGATGTTGTTTTTGATTAATGACTTTATTGCTACATTGTTAACATTTCTTAACTTGACGTTTTATTTGCATTTTTTGCTTTGTTAAATAGGGCCACGTGTTTTCCTGATATTTTTCATTTAAATCATATTTAAGTATACAATAGTACAAAAAATAAATTTACATACATAAAAACAAACTTACACTCGCACGAAAAACATAAAAATACATCGAAATCTCATGTAAATTCTGTAAATCTACGTCCATAGTGTTTAATAATAGCTATAAAACAGTTTGGTAGCGGAAATCCAATAGATTGAGTTAGTAAGGTTGCAGCGAAGTTAACTCAAGTTCGTAGTATAAGTTGGGTGCAATGTTTACACCAAGCGGTGTGTGCGGTTCTATTGGGTTCTAACAGCTCCGATATTAAGTTGGAAACAATTATTCAATACTATAGGATATTAAATGAATTAAGTAATATAGTGCTGAATGATTTAAACGCATTGTGCACTACGATCACTGACCTCTATACACAGACTGGCTATTAACTCTGGGATTTTGTTCCTATTTGACCATCGCCATTTTGGCTAAGACTGTCGCAGTTCATAGGGATGGTGAAGATTCGAATTAATATTAGAGTAGAATTAACTGTTACGAACTTCAACAGGTGTGCTTAAGTCGGAGCAACGCAAAAGCTGTCATTTCCCTTCAATAGCCAATCCATTTTTAGAGTTCAGCGCTTACAATAAATATTTCTAAATTAAAAGAAATGTAAAATGAATTGTAACATTATTTGAAAAGTAGACAATTATTAATAAGAAATAAGTATTTTAATATAAAGGCGTTAAACAAGGAGTAAGATTTCAATACGTTTTCTTCTATAAATATTTTACAAAATGCTGGCAACATTGTTAAAACAATTTGAAAGTATGCTACGTAATTTACACTTCTAAATAGATAATAAGTTACGTGGTAACAGGTTTCTTTGGGAGTTTAAGAAAACTTTATCTCACAAACTTGGTTTATGTGATGGCAAACATCCATCTTGAAAGTGTATCCTTTAATAAATCATACAGTAATGTTATTATACAGCGAGGCTTCTATCAAATTATATTTAACATTATTACAACCTGACTCGTTAGTAAATTAATTTACTTAATACATATTCTTAAAGCTCCATGTAATACTCGAGAAGATATTATAATAATAGTATCCGAAAACGACGTGCATGCGTAGATCTATTAATGTAGAAGAAGCAAGAGAGGTGTTACTCTACCAAATGGAAGTCCGTGATCTCTGCCTACCATCCTGGGTTACGGGCATGAGTTATTAAAGCTTTCATAAATATATGTGGCGATGATATAGTAAGTTACCTCACTTACCTGACTTCTCATAGGCTATTTAGGTTACAGGAAATCAGAATGGTAAGAACATAAAAAAATACACATATTTATCTTACTAATATTATAATTGCGAATGTTTAAATGGATGGATGTTTGTTAGAAGATATCTCCAGAACGTGTGTACGATGTAGAGCGTAGTGTAGAAGAACACATATGTGTATATACTACGTAGCAGGAGTCGCGGATGTCAACTAGTGTAAATATAAATATAAAAAATGTTTAATCTTTCTATAGTTAGGCAAATACATTAAATGCCAATTAAAATCGTGCACAGTCTAAAAGAGGCTTCAGAACAACCGATAAGAATTCTTAAGTATGAACTTTTTATCTTTTGGAAATAAATGAGAAACTTATTCTAAGTCCCGGCAGTTGCCATATTCTTTCAGTCTCATTTGGTAACACGAAAGTAATATTTTAGACAATGACGCATCTTGGATCATCCATCAAGATAAATTTGACACGTCTAAGTATTTTCAAAGTTGAATTTTCTTTTACATTTCGAATTATAAAAAAAAATGTGGAAAGCAGATTAATACTACAAATAAAGTGTAAAATACCTTTCCTTTGTCCGATTAAAACCTTTTAATGAACCTAAAAAAATGTTTGTTAACTTTAAAAAATTATAATAAAACTTTTTAATTAATATCGCCAAATTCTTTTAAAAACTCTTCTTGGTTTAGGTTTTATAATTAATAGTCTATCGATAGAACGGTGGCTGGTGAAAAATTCTAAGGCGCTCTCCCAGAACATAAGCGTATGAGTGGAGTATCTTATTTACAGCTAGGCATCCGTGTGTTGGTGCATGAGTTTTTAATATTTATTCTAATTATATTTATTATTATTTTATTTAAACCTACAGTTCCTATCTTTGATTCCCGCTATATACCAATTTTTATTTTCTGG